GACAGTTCTGTACAGGATTTAGCAATTTCCCCCACATTTTTATCTCTTGTGACCTTGATCTTTTTATCAGTTCTACCAATTTTGAGGGTGGAGTGGAAGTTGGCACTATTGAATATTTCTTCCCCTAATAGGAGGAAGGAACAGTGAGAGCAAGGGAAAAGAGCTCAGTTGTTGCACTGCTGCCTAAGGTAAGGGTTGCAGAAACTTTTCCAGGAGCTGGGCAGGGTTGGTGGCACTCCCAAGCTCTGAGTGTAGCCCAGTGATCAGCAGAGATGTGGTGACTGTCAGAAATGACACAAACATGTGGTGATGGAGCAGACTAGGGGTCAGGAACACAGGGAATCCCCTGGAGTTGGGCACAGCAGGGGCAGGACTGAGCCAGGCCTCAGGGAAGAACCAAGGAATTCAGCCTGAGCTCAAGTGTGGCAGTGGCCAGGGCGTGGCATGGGGGGTCTCAGTGGAGGCTCTTCAGGGCAGTGATGCACTCTGGATCCAAACAGACTCTGACCTTCTCAGAGTAGCTTTTATTAGGAACATTTCTTCTCCTATAGGGGAAAAAAAGCCTACTTTGCACTTGGATTAAACTTTAGCCACTTTAATTTTCACCCCTGCAGAGCTCCCTGTTACAGAGAGATGAAGCAGTGCCAAGTGCTCTCACCAAGAACATCTGAACAGCATATTCTTTGTAGAAACTTTACCCTTCCTATTAATTGAGGTTAATTGTAGCTTGGCAATTGCTACCCACAAGAGGAAAAGAAGAGTGTTTCTACCTCTGAGCTATAATTTTATTTTTTGGTTGGTTTTTTTTTCTGTAACTGAGGGTATCATAAGTTTTAGGTCCTGGTAGCTGAAAGCGCAGTGCACACTTGGAACCAAAGACTGATGACATCCCCTCTAGAAAATTCACAGAGTCAGAAAATAATGTAGGAAAAAAGTCTCACAACATCCCCACAAAGTGAGGGCTGGGAAGTCTCTGGGCTCTGGCTTGCTCATGCTTGCAGAAGAAATAATTTTGACCTTAAACTGTGGAGTCAAACACATTTGCTACAAGACCACTGCAACAACAGGTGAGATGGTGGCCTTGGAAGGCATCCAAAATCAGTGTGTTTCAGGAAGGAGCTGGCAAGGCTCCAAAGAAATAGGTTTTATTCTACTTTTGGGGTGGTTGGATTTTCTCTACAGATTGTAGCCTGCATTTATCAATTGAGTTATTTTGCATTTATTTTCTTTGTTCTGAGACAATAAATTCTCAGTGGCAAGAGTTGCTAAAATACTGTAAGTATGGCATTTATTTCCCCTCCTTGACTGGAGAAAAGCTCTTTAGTTTATAATCACTCTTTGAATAGTAGTCTGTGACCCAGGGAAGCTAATTTCAGCAGCAATAAAAGCTGTGTCTTTGTGCCTTCAGAAAATAAAATTTTAAGGACCTTGCAAAATTTTTGGACCTTGACCAATCTGCAAATTCAATATGCCTATTTCTGTCTCCCAGTGTTGGGAGAAGGAACCTCTAAAGTCTTCTCAGAGACCTAGAATAGCTTTTATTTTTTAACTAACTCCCCTTTGCAGTGTAGTTCATATTTCTTTTGTTAATAAAGAGAATTTTGCTTAAGTTTTGGGAGGATAGTAATTACATGACTTGTACTGGAAGAAAACTTCCCACTAAATCTTAAAGTATGACATTTCTGTGTCCTGGAGGGGGCTGCTCAGCCAGGTTTGCAATTAAACAGCCAACAGGAGTATTTTACTGCTGAGCTGAGAGAAGACATCAGCTCCATCATCTTGCATCTAAAACACTTGTGAATGTAATAATTATTTTTGTCAGCCAGTCCTTTGTGCTTTCCATCTCAGCAACACTCATTGTCAAACAGCAATTTCACTTGTTAATCTTCCTCCTGTCTCCTGCTGAGGTTGTCTTTTTGGCCTGTTTCAGATCCAGCATGTTCCTTCTTCTTTTGACAATGGGATTTGAGTTTTGTGAAAGCCTTTTCCCAATTGCCTCCTTGTGGGGTTAGAAAAACAAAAAAAAATTCTGATTTGTTTTACAAATCTGCCCTTGGATTATTACTGATGCAAAATTCCAACTTGCACTTTGAAGTAAGGGGTTAGGGGTGTTGATGTTTTATGATTTGCTTCTCTCTCAGCAGTGTTAGGATCTTGGTCCATGAAATTCCAAGTCTGTCCTGTAAATCTGGGGTTATTATCCCAGTGCAGGCCTAGCAAAGGTGTTCCTGTACTGGAAGTGCTTTCAGGTTATCCATGCTCCACTCCCTTTCTGTGTTTCTATGGAATTCATGAGATGCAAAGGTACTCTTGGTGCAGCCATCAGAGAAATGGGCACTGCTACCACTTCCCTTGACTCCTAAAGATGCCCAGTTTGGCTGGTTCAGTTTGTGCTCTGCTTTCTGTCCCTCTCAGGAAATGACCAGTGACAGGATGCCTGGTTAGAAGTGAAACCTCAGCCCTGTGTGACCCTCGTGCTGCTTTGGAGAGCAGCAGTGACAGTTTGCTGAGTCTGGAAACACATTTTTCTTATCTCCAGGGCAAGTTCAGTGACTGTTGCCAGCTTCCACCAGGAGGGACTATCAGTGCTGTTCCATCTTGGTTACAGACATGACTAATCCCTCTTACCACTTTTTCTTTTTTTTCCCCAGAAGTGCCAATTAAGCTTTTTCTATGATCCTTCTCTAATATGTTTAAGTCAAATGGAGGTGGGTGACTATAAACTGCCCTATTAGCAGGTAAACTCAGTGCAGCTCATTTCAGCAGAAACGTCCTACAGAGAAATGGTGAGAGAGGTGGAGAGGCAGCACAGAGCTTCAGGCAGGAGAGAATTCACATGTCCTGGAGACAGACAGATATTTGCCTTGGCTTCCTGTTCACTTTATCTCTGATTCCCTCCTCAGCCTTTTGTGAGATGATGGAAACTGTGAAGACTGCTATTGCTGCCTTCCTCAGCAAACCACCCTTCAGAGCAGGAGCAATTCCATTCCATGAGTCTGTACCTTCTCCATGCTGAGTTTTAAGGTGACGTGCAGTGAGAAGAGCATAAGGAGCTAAAAAGCTTTATGTACAAAGGATACAACTGGTATGTGCCACCACCAGATTCTCTAGGGTCTCACTTCTCTAGCAGCAAACATGGTCAACAATCACAAGAGATGTTTTTCCACTTGTCAGTCCCAGGATCACAGAATGGGTTGGGTTGGAAGGAGCTTTAAAGCCCATCTTGTTCCAGCCCCTTGCCCTGGGCAGGACACCCTCTCCCAGATACTTTTGTGGATACCTGAGCTGCTCAGGGATTAAGGCAAACAGCCCATAGCAGCAATAAAACTGGGGTATTTACCCTGCAAAATGATGCTGTTACAGCATTGCTTTGGGAACAGGATGCTAAATTTCATGAAGTCATGCAGCTGTGCTAATAATGTTTCTGTACAGTGGTGGGCATGTCTGTCATTTCTGAGTTTATCTGTAAAATTGCTGCCATCCAAACGTTCTCTTGTCAAATGCCTTTGACTAAATTGTTCCAAATTTAATCAGTTGGGCCTTAAGCCTTAATGTGGGGTAAGCAGGCTTTGGTGTGGAGCAGCTCCTCCACTCCTGGCTGCATATTCCCTGCTCTCCCCATGGCTCACATCTGAGCACGTGGCACAGCCTGGGTTGGGCCAGCAGAGAACAAACCTGCCAGAACCAAATCTGCCTTCCAGATCAACCTGTTGAGCTGATCTGCACAACCACTGGGTCTCATCAGGGGTGGGAGAGGCAGAGGCAAGCACTGCCTGGTTCTTTGCCTGCCTGCAGTTGGGCTGGATTGGAGGGAAAATTAAGATGTTCTTACTATGAACATTTTGGTCCAGGAGCTCCTGTCTTAATGCAGAAAAACGTTGCTTGTATATTCCAAGCCATTAGACCTGGCTGCTGCTTTATTTTTCATAATTATTTGATACATTACTTTCTATTAAAATAATTAAACCATGAATCTTCACGTTATTTACAGTTTTTCTCATGTTATTAAGCTGTAATTTGACCAAGAGATATGAGCATAATTTACCATATGATTGCATAGCTTTTAATGTGTGCTTCTGCAGTGAATAGCAGCTATTAAGATAAGTGGTTTGCCCTGTAAAATGACATGATGTCATAATATTTCTCTGAAAATACAAAATTAAGTATCATTAAATCCTATAATTAGGTAGCTATAGGTTATATTTGCAGCTTGAAAAATGGAGTCAGGCAGCCTGATTCTTCTTGCTGTAGTATTCCAGGAATTTTGTCAAAACTGTACAGGAGCAAGTGTTGTGCTTTATAGAACATGAGCTGCTTCCCCAGCCCTGTATTTCAGTGTAATTCCCTTTTTGTTCTCTTTCCAGGAACTGGGGTTTCCCAACATGTTTGTAACAGCAAAGCAGCTGTTCCAGGAGCGTGTATATTCTTTTTTTAAAATAACAAATGTGATTTTTGTGTCTATTTTTCATATTCTTTAGAAATCATGTGAATTTCATACATGATAGTGTATGATTGATCATAAAATTTTAATTTTTTTTGCTTTGGACAGATATTTAGACCTCTTTTTTTCCTTGTCAAATTTTCATAAAGTTTTGGACAGGTTTGTTGTTTCTTTTAAATCTCCATCTAATTCTAAAACAAAATAATTGCTTTTTTTTTTGTGAATTTAACCTGATTTGTATTACTTCCATACTTCTAATTTATTTTCTTATTTTCTGAGTCATAAGATATTTTAGCAACTGCTGTAGTTAATTGATGTCTGGTATTTCTCCTGATTATCTCTATTCACTTTTACCTCTGAAGGTACACCATGTATCTCACATAATTTTTATTCAGTGCTATATATACATTCTAAGTGTTTTTAGGACAAACTACTCCTTTGAAGGTTACAGCTGTAATGTTAGAGGGGTGTTCTGAAGCTCACTCTGCCTCCGAGAGCCTGCGGTGCCCCTGGTGCTGGACGCAGTGAAATAAAAGCTTTGTGCCATCTACTGGTGCCGCTGGGAGCTGCGGCGGACCCCAGCCTGCAGCGGGGGGAGAGAAAATTACAATGCTGTTTATTTTTTAATGTCTGTAAGTGCTAACTCCTGTTAAACACGTGCTAATTAACTCACGCATTAACCCCTTTCCCACTCCTGCCTTCCCGACAGTGCCCTACATCTTTGTCCCTATTTTTAAAGACTCTAAAACCATTTTGTTTTACAGGCAGGGCAGTCATGTTTTAACAGAGTGCAACAGTCCAGGCTGATGGTGAGTGTGAGCACGGTTTGTCTAGACCTGTTACTCTTTCTATAATAATTCCTAATTACAGTGTATGTCATGATCACTTATAATTAAATATAACTCCCCCAAACACGTTCTCCCCTATGGGTTTTCGCTGATGCTTGTTCCCTTGTTAAGCCTGGAGTTATAAAGCTGCTGGGATGGGAGACTCCAGCTTAACTCAGTGCAGGGTTAAATAAGGCCTTTTAGCTGAAACCTCTTTGTATCCTACAGCCTCATAATAGGCTATTGTATTTTCTGGGGTTTTTATAAGGCTCAGATGTCACACTCAGTTCTTGCTTCTTTCAGTATCATCAGTGTTATCACTCATGTGTTTAATACATTTGCTGTACATTCTGATCACAAATATTATTTGTTCTTTCTCTGCTGGTTTTTACTTTATCTCTCAAGGACATAAAGAGCAGATCCACAAATGCTCCAGTGTCCTTTTTGTTATGGTTGTTCTATGCAAAGGGAGCAAATCCAAGAAATTATTAGGAAAAAAAAAACCAAAAAACAAAAAAACCCAAAACCAAAAACAAAATAACAAAACACCCCACCAAAAAAACCCAAACAAACAAAGAAAAAAATAAATCCAAACCCTTTACAATTTAGACTATTATGTGCTTTGGTATCATGTTCAAGGGTCCAGATACTTTACTTTCTTCCACACTCAACTCATTCCCAAATGAAGTGTAACCTGCAGGAGACACACCTGGCCTAGAAATGAGGATTCTTTGGGTCTGCTTCAAATGAAACCCAGTTTATCCTGTCCAGGAGGGAGGTATTTTTCTCATTTGCAAAGGGCTTGTGGATTTTTTTGGTTGAAAATACTGTATAAGCAGCTATTAATGTATATTTGTGCTGGTTTGATACATGTACTTAGTGATCTAATTGTGCATACTTTGAAAACTTGTCTGGGTGGGATATTAAAATTCTTTAATTTTGAATTATCTAAATGCATATGTGTGTATTAAAACATGTTACCTGCTACAAGTACAGGTACAAAAATCAATACAGTAAATTAGTTTGATTTTAGATCGTATTTCAAAGTGCAAATATCAATTTAAGAAAAACAGTATTGCTTTCAGCAAAGCAGAATTTTACCCAAGTGTGAACAGGTGGATTAAATTATATAGGAAATATACTCAGCCTTTTAATATTTCAATTTAATATTTCAATGTTTTCTTCACTTGCAGGTAAATGCCCCAAACAATCATCTTTGCTTATTTTGTGACTGATTGTTACACCTGGGAAAACGAGCTGCAGTAAGTGCACAGTTAACATGAATTTTCATGGAGGGGAAAAATAGTTAATTATTGCAACAGTACAGCTACTATGATCAGAGCAGTGACTCATGCAAGTCAAGCATATAATTGTCCATGTAATTTGTTTGAAGTCAGCTGGGCTCCAACATTCTTGTTCCTGTGTATAGCTGTTAATTTTTCTTTATTTTCCCTTCAAAATCTGCTGGAATTTGCTGCGAGATTGTTTTGTTTTAATATGTGTGTTATTGTTAGAAAGATGTCAAGTTGTGTCTGACAGCCTGAGAGGGGCAAAACTGCTGCAGCTCCACGTCCCCAGCTCCTCTCAGGAGCAAGGCTGAAAATGTTTCCCATAAGACCCTGGCACATCTCACATATTCATTGTTTAAACAAGAAGAAGCTCATGGTTTTTATATTCCTCCTTATTCCCTTTTAAATGACTGTTGTTGCTGCTCTTACGCTCTCTGTCATCTGTAAAAGGCTGTGAATTTGGGTTAGATTCACTCCAGTGGGAAGTATTGTAGACTGGAATTTAAATCTAACCTACTTTGTATCGGTGGAAGAAAAGAACACACTTTTACTCTGGACAAGCTGGAAACTGCTGCTTAGGATTGAAGCAAACATTTACCTTCTTTAATGTACTAAACACAATTTGTTTGCAGCCTCTCGGAATCAGGAGATAATGGCTGTGGATGATCTAATATTTGCAGGTTTATACAAACATTTTTTAGTAGCTCCTACTGTATCCCAGTGAATTAAAAGCAATGGTTTTTAACAAATTTATACAAGTGGGGAATACTTTTCACTAATAATTTTGTTTCTTCTAAATTCCAAATGTATTTTCTGTTCCTCTGCATTTCTATCTTGCAGTCATGGGTAGAGCTGGCAGAAGTCCCACAGTTTCCATATACCATGTGTGCCTGTATCTGTGAGGTTTTTATACAAATCCCGTGCTTTATGGGCTTGTGTCCGTGCAGAGCACAGTTGGCTTGCTCTTGTTCCCAACACAGGTGAGTTAATTTCAAGACAACGTGATAGTAAATATTTCTTTGTGACGGGAACTGGCAGGTTCTGGTTAATTCCAGCAGCAGGGCCCCAAGGTCCACCATTTCCATAAAATCACCTGCAGAAGGATTCGTGGCTCTTAGCAGGCTGTCATCCTGCTAAGAAAAGAAGTAACAGCCACCAATTGCTGACCTAAATTAGTCAGCACAAAGGGGTTTTTGTCCTAAATTAGTCAGCACAAAGGTTTTTTGTCTTCAGAGGACATTGTGATGGAGACAAGCTGAGGTACTTCTGGAGGGTATGAAGAGCCAATTTGGAAGACTCTTAACACCTTCTGTCATTTAGTCATGAGGGGAAAAGATAAGGAAAACCTCCTTTGGGAGGAGAGATGATTGGATAATACTGGTATAGAATAGAAATTGCTGTCAGTGGTGGAAATATGCCTTTAGAACTGGATCGATACTTCTGGACATTATGGGAATCATTGAATTTGGTGATACAGAGTTGGATCATTAACAAGGAAAGTGGTTCTGGATGCAAAGGTTCCACCAGAAACAAGACTCTGGGCTTTGGCAGGTGTTGTTCATCCTAAAGGAACTCTGTTGGGAGAAGGGATGGTAGAGCCTTGGATTGCAGGAGGTCTGGTGCTGTTCCCCCTGAGTAAAACATTCATGGTTGTAACTAAAATGTAATGGAATTAATCTCTCAGGGTTATGTTTTGTGTCTGAGAACACAGTGAAGGCAACACACTGGTCATGGTAAAACGTTAAAGTTTAATCTCTTACTTTCCTACTGTCAATAAAACTAAAGAAAAGCTGAGTCTGTAGGGCCTAACAAGCTTGGGACTGCCTCCTGAAGCTTTGCATCAAACCCTCCTCACTGTCTCTGTGTCTTCCCTGATATTCTGCACATTAGGAGCAAACTCCTCCATCCCTTCACCATGAAACTTGCCCTTTATTTTTTGCTGCCTTCTGTGCTGACTGTACAGCCCTGCTTTTTTAGCAGCACTACAGGAGTGATGCAAGCTCCTCCTTTGACCTCATATGGCTTCTGTTCCTGCTTACCCAGCCAGGTCTTTCACATGCCTCCTGTGGCACTGCCACCCCTTTCCATGTTCCAGGACAGCAGGGAACAGACAGCTGGCCTTGAAAGCCCAGCAAATTCAGTCAGGCTTCTTTCTGCTCCTAGAATTTATAACCTTAAAGGAGCTCAGCACAGGGTCCAGCCCTTTTTGCTTCTGATTTGTTATGTTGGAAGGTGTGAGAAGGAAAGGTTAAGGATCACAAAGGAGAGAGCATTTTTGTCAAGGCAGACATCTGATTCTCTTGTTTTGGACTTGAGAGCTGTGAAAAACACGTTCATTCTCCTGTGAAAATTTAAAAAGTTCAATAAAGGACAATGGAAGACAAGGACCATAGAGCAAAGGAGCCAAACCCTCTGTGTGGTACCAGCAGTGCCAGGCAGAGGCTGGCTGCTGTCCCTGGGGGTCTGGCAGGACAGGGAGCAGGAGCTGGATTTCTCACAGGTCAAAAAAGAAAGTTTGGTGGCAGGAAGAACAGGAAAGGGAGAAGTATGTGTGTCCTTCCTCTTCAAGTTGTCTTTTAAAAAACATGGGAGGTTACTATAAAAAGCTGTGTGGAGGTAAGACAGCTCCACATTGCTACTCCTTTATATTTAGGGCCCCAATTTGCAAAATCAGCTTCAGATTCCACATGTGTCAGGTCAGAGATGTGATGAAAAGATGCCTGTCCTCAGTGTTCTCTGTGTTCACTACAAAATAACAGCCCAAGATCCTGATTCTCCTTGCTTTAGAGTAGGTGCAACACAAACATCTCTACAAATCGGGTCTTTTACTTGCAGCAGGAACTGTGTAGCAAACTGCCTCGTTCCTACTCTCCTCTCCTACTCAAATTTTCACTTTGTCCCAGCGGTTTCGCTCCCTGTTTTCCCCTGGCTGCTGGAATGTGCACGAGCAGGGCCCAAAGCAGAGCTGGGAAAGGTCAGGCCAGCCTGGGGCACAGCGAGGAGCCGGCTGGGCAGTGGAAAGTTACAGCCCTGAGTGCTGCAGGAGCTGCCCTGCTCCTCGGGAAATGTGATACCTGCTCGGCAGAGTCCCTGTGGAAAAGGCTCAGTGCTGCTCTTCCAAGTGCTCCTCTGGTTTGAGGGGAAGAGAGAGTTTAGGGTGATCTATCATGTGTATTTATTAGAGGAAATATGCTTTAATCCCCCTAATCTAAATCTGCTACTTGTAGTGCCAGGGACTGCAAATATTTGTGTTTCATCAGTGTTTCTTCACTGAAAACTATCGTGATCTCAGACATGATAATTCTGCATTAAAATGGTAGCAAGTATGAGAAGAGTGATGGACAAAAATAGGACAATTCTTACCAAATCCTATTCTGTCTTTACTCCTTCCCTGTGTATTGTATCAGAGCACACTAACACAGCTGGCAATGGTATTTGCTAGTAGCTGTTTGTGTTTCCAGTGGAAATCAGTGGTGAATCCCAGTGTAAAACTGTCTTTCATCCACAAGAAAGAGCTGTTTGTCCAAATTTCATTTGCTGGATGTAACATGGAATTTGTCTTTCTGCTTTTGGTAGGAACTCGTTCAATGCTGTTTAATTTAATTTTAAATCACATTCTAGTAACTGCTATAAAAAAGATCTGGGTGAGGGTTCATGACAACAGTCCAGCTATTTGGCACGGGTTTTCTGTAAACAAACCGGTGAATTGTTTAACCAGTGTGAAGTAAGAATTCCCCAATGCCTTGTGAATGAATGTGCTGCAGTTACAGAGATTTCATTAACTAATGTGAACCTCCAAAAGAAAAGGAAGGACAGGAAGAAAACCACGTGAAATGCATGTTGCAATTGTAGCTGGAGCTGTGGGTCATGCAGCATGTTTTGAGTCTGGTTATTTGGAAAGGATGGGGTTTTCCTTACTGTGAACTGACTGTTCTGCTTATATTTCAGTTATGCCTCAAGTCTGATAAGACAGGGAACTGATCAGAACTTGCTGGTCTTGGGAGCCCTGTGAGAGCTAAACCAGCAGTAATCTGGGCTGTCATGGACCTGAAAGTGGTTTGGCCATTCTATTTAGAGACACACCAAAATATAGACATATTTTATAGTGCTTGAGATACCAGCATGTTTCTAGAAACTTTTATCAGAAAAGATAAGAGTTGGAGCAATTCGAAGTTTATCAGACAAGGGACGTTGTCAGTTCAGGGTGACTTTAAAATACAGGGCAACCCGTGTGGTTTTAAGTCCTTGGAAGTGCATCACTCGCTGATGACTGAACTCTGACACTGCACCGAGACAATTCAGAACGAGTTAGTGTATCACTAGAGATGTGATTTACAATGCTGGTCAGAACAAGCTGATAGCAGCCACGGAAATGGAGCTATATAAATAAGCTTTGGCAATACACCCCACGAGTGTCTTGCAAACTGCTGAGCATTTAGCACCTGCTTGCTACTGTTTTGCACATCCCTTCACTGTGAGAGGCCACATGTTAACACTGAGTCTAGCAAAGACTTACTCGACTCAGTAATCACAAGCTTATGCAATAACTGCAACATTTCAAATGTTGCTTTGATTTTTTTCCCCCCAAATGTTGCTTTGATGATTCTAATGTGCTGTTCACACAGGAAGTCAGGCAGGCTGATTTAAGTGGCTGCCCAGCTTTGTGGGAGTGAGAGATCATCTAGACAGGAATCCAGCTCCAAAACTCTGTTATCCAGGGTCTGCACTACCCATGAAATTCTCAGGCTTAGGTTTTCCTCACCAACTACTCCATGAAATGCCATGGTGATAAGGTCCATGGATGACCACCAAGTGACCAAATGGAAAAAGGGCTGAGACCTACTTTCTAGCCCTGTTCCTGGTTACTTGACTGACCATTGACAGCCTTTCCTGAGCTATATTCCCAGCCACCAAGTGACCAAATGGAAAAAGGGCTGAGACCTACTTTCTAGCCCTTTTCCTGGCCACTTGACTGACCCTTGACAGCCTTCCTGAGCTCTATTCCCATATCAGTGAAAGAGAGAAAAGCAATGTTCTGAGCTGGATCTGTGTCCCCATTCAGTTAAATACCTAATCCTGCTCTTTTACATGAAGACTGAGGTAAAGATGGCATTTATCACTTCATTGTGACATCTCAGTATGTTCAAGAAAGTGTCTTTTCTGAGAAATTTGCAGGACAAAAAAAAGTTCAAGCACAAATTCTGCACTCAGAAAGCGTCTGTCTGTGTGGAAATCCTGTTGTCTAACAGGCCTTCCAGTTACCTCATGGAGAAAGAACTTTTGCTCAGCAACCAGATGGCTAAAACACAAAGAAAGGACTCTCCTTGGAATATTGACATCCTTCCTTTTTGTGGGCTATACAGCCAAATTTTTCTTCCATTTGAAAACCCAGTTCTCAGTTCTGGCTGCACCTGGCAGCAGCATCACAACTTTTGTGTGATATTAACTGAATAAAGGAAGATATGGCAGACTTGGAGCATGCAATACTTAGAGGTGACACTGGAACATGAATGTGTAGTTCATTAATAAAGATAAGCAGGAGGATGATCTTTTGTTGCTCTTTCGAATACCTTGGGCAGGTTCTGAAAAGGCTAAGTCTTTATTTTTCTTAAAGCTTAAACAGTTCTAGATGCCTTGAACACAAGAAATAAGCAGCAGTTAAGCGAGCATTGCTTTTCCTGCTCTAACAGACTCCCCCTGAGCTGCCAGGGATGTTTGTGACCTCTGGCATGACTCTTCCAACGGGGCTGCAGAGCCAGCATGAGCCCAGGCTGCTCTCAGGGTGCCTTGGACACTATCAGTGTCCATGGAGCTGTTCAGTGTGAGCTGGCAGGGTGGCAGTGGCTTGCAGGGCTTGTTTAGCATTCCTGGAGGCTGCAGATCAGCTCCAGCACTGACAGAACCCACTGCAGTTCAACACTCTGTTTTGGCTATGGCTTGTACTTAAAATCCATCCCTGGCCAGTGAGTGGCCACAGATT